TGCTGATGATGGCTGCCACTTCACGGGGGTCGCCTCTTCATCTCGAGGCCAACAGAAACAATCAGATTTATATGGGACACTAATAAATGTTTATGTCTGTTAAAGAGCCGTTTATTAATAGAGCAGCCAAGACAAACGGGCTTCGACATAATGACCAAGGACGTCTTTACTGTATAAATTTGTTAACTACTAAGCTTTGCTAATGTATAAAAGTCTCACTACGAATTAATCTGCAACATTGTAGTATGACCATTTAAACGTCAATTTTTCTGTCGAATCTTAGGTAGCTTGAGACCAGCTGATCTTTATCAGTAGCAAAATGGTATAATTTCGTTCATTCCACACTAATTTTTCAACAATCACGTGCGTCTTACACTCTGCACCTGTGTGTGTCGCAATAAATTATAATCTGATACGAGACAAAACAGAACCTAAATAAGCCTTAATGCATTATAATATAATCAATCAGCATGAATGACTTAGTAACCGGAGTTCTCAGAATTGCTTCATAAGCGCATCGTAGCAAAATGATACAAAGAGAAAATAACCAATAAAGGGAATGGATGTTGGATGTTGTGCAAAGTGCTAATGAAGAGTCGTAATGCGGATGTTTCACCAACTGTTACAAACAGTCCGCTGTACAAACCCTCCTAATCACCCGCCCGCTCACCAAATATAGACAAACCAATCAACAACTTAATGTACAACATATTTATCTACTACCTGCTTTTGTCGACAAAATAATAACAAGTTATCGACTTTCAATCGCTTGAGTAATGTTAGACATTTTTCAGTTTGTGAATCACACCCAACGTTTGTGGAAACTAATTTTAAAACACTATTCACGCTTACTCCAGCCTTGAAAACGCCCGGAAACACCTGATCGTTTGGTTAAACCTAACGTTTACTTGTTTGCAGCATTTCCCATAACGTCATCATTAAATTCAAGACGAAACTAGCTTTATCACAGATCATTAACGACCAAAAAATCTGATCTAGTAGAAATGTGTACGTATAATACAGATCCTTATTTAATTATATCATGTAAATTATTCACGATAGTTTAAAATTGAAAGTACTTTATGATCATGATTATGAATCTCCCTAAGATGGCATGGCCAAATGATGCGCGTCATAGAGGGTTTCAAACATTAAAATATACGTGTTCAATGCTAATATGTGTACGTACAATCGTACATAGGGATCACGGGCTCAATCATGTCTGTCGTATACACAACAAACACAGATAAGCTTAATTTGAGAATTCATCGTGTATTATCAAATGAATCTTGTTGATCGGTACAAGAAGATACTGTTATTCGCAACACCCGCAAATACAATAAAATATTATTGAAAGAAGTAATCTGGTTCAATAGGTTAAACCCCGTCACTCTTTCCAAAAGGAATTATTTTCAATCCACGAAAAAGTAGACAGTCAAATTAAGTTATAGTTTTCGATGGGTACTGAAGAAATTTGTCTTGGATGATGGCGTGCCTTGAATGTTAACCACCAATCGTGAGTTGTTAAGTTCAAACAAGATACAAATTACAACAATCGAAGAGGAAAATGTGTACAGATAATGAGTCATATAAACTAATATGTATATCTAAACATTGCATTATTTGAAAAATATTATAAATGTAGCAATAAGTGTAGTTGATTGGTGTGAAATGTAATTGCAATAATTTACTTTTGCAATAGGCATTAGGGTATGTACCAACAGACAAATCTCAATCTATAGACATTACCATCATAATTTGTTGGTCACTGAATAAGTTAAACGCCAACGCGATCTTAATAATACGTTACGTAAAGTAGCATTTAATATCATCGCAATTAATTAATAAGATTTTTTACAGAATGTTACTGCATTATTAATTTTCTATTTGATTCTAGCTTAAATATAATTTGGCACTTGAATCACACGTAGCACAGCAATTTAGGAGCAAAGAATCCATTCATTCAAATTCCTGATATATTACAATTTTATTCATCATATGACCGCTAAAATAATTTAATGTTAAAAATCATAGACGGTAAGATCGAATATAATGTTAACGTGCCTTATTGATTTACATAGAATGCCATTCTATTTGAACATTATAATCCACAAGAAATAACACGCATTTAAAAATAATAATAATAATAATGATTTCATATAAGTTTTAAAAGAGAGAATGGATTTATTTAGGTTATCTAGGTTAGGTGGTGATTTACTTGATGCGGTATGTAGTGTTGACCTAGTGATCGTAGGTCGTGTAAGGTTAATGTAGTGAGCGAGTGAGGAGCGAGGCAGATGAACCGGTCACGACCCAAGGCCGGTCGGCGACCTAGCCTCTGCCTCTCACAAGATCACGGCCTCACACACACACACTCATCCTCATCTCCATGTCACACGGAACTGGGGAATACCCAGCTAGTAGCTACACTTGGGAATGTCCCATGCAAGGTCAACGTCGAGTTTGGGAGAGTTTACGAGCGACGAAAGTAGACGGCATCTAAATCATCATTAGCCATCCAAGAAAGTCAGAAGCACTCTGCAAAATTAGGTTTATTAGTCAAAAGTGGAAATTCCTGAAAATAACTAAAATATTGGCAAGTGGGTGGGATTCCTCAACACTCATGTCCGGGAAGATGCAACCTTTCTTTGGGTAAAAACATGATCCTGTATCGGGGAAGGAATGTTGTATCGAATCCATGGTGGGTTAGAATAGTTGGACAATATAGAGGAAATGAATCAGAATGAAAGCAGTCTGCAGTAGTGTAGAGGTAGAGGACAAATGAAGCCTGCCATAACTAGTGTCACAGTCGAGCGGTCTGCCCGCGGACATGACGGTTGGCGCTGTTGGATAATATAATGGAAAACGTGAGAAAACTCGCCTACCGCCTCCGAGCCTCCCAGCCCCTACACAACATAAACTAGGGCGAACTACAAGGGAGACGGACAATTGGTACGCTACGCACCATTTTACTTCAAAACATATTTTGTCAGAACAAAACTAATTTAAAAATACTTTTAAAAATCAATCATACGGTAATAATAAATTATAGCTCTCTGTGGCGAAGGCGATCTTCACCATAACCTCATCCGTATAACTCCTTAGTTCCAATAAGATCTTCTTCATGTGAACATTGTCAACCTTGAAATATTTTATGCATTTCAAAGTAAGTTATACTGCCTATGTTTAAGAAACAGTTAGTAACTAAGCAAACAATATGACTGAACAGTAACATAATTCTGAGTAGGGAATGAATTGAAGGGAGCCTGAGGTAGGACGATTGAGAGTGAACTGATTTTGCCTTTTCACAAATTAACTACAAGACCTCGGTAGACTACATTGCCCTTGCAGTTATCCGATATATGTATTATGTACGTATTCTCATAATAATGCTTTCTTCAATTTTGGTTTGGATTGGAGGAATATCCGACGAAGCGCGGCCATTATAAGACACGGATACGTTTTATGTCCAACTATGAAGAAATAAATTACGTTAGTTACGAGACAAAAGAGTAAAATTTTGGATTAACACTTAAGATAGTTTTAATTTAAAATAAAAAAAGATTAATATGCTAATAAGTTTCAAGTTGCCCCAATCGTTTGTTGTAATCGCTCAGTCTTTTGCAGTGACGCTTTTAAAGCCGGGCCCAGGGGAGCAAGAGGTTTTAGGTTTGTAGGGCACACATGGAAGGGAAGAATTCCCTCACAAGGCATAGGCCTATAGGTGAAGAGAGGCGCAATTATCTTTTGGGTCCACAGCCATAGCGCATCACACGCAACCGAATCAGATCATTCTCGATATTATGAATCTAATAATATCTAGCTTTATCACAGATCATTAACGACCAAAAAATCTGATCTAGTAGAAATGTGTACGTATAATACAGATCCTTATTTAATTATATCATGTAAATTATTCACGATAGTTTAAAATTGAAAGTACTTTATGATCATGATTATGAATCTCCCTAAGATGGCATGGCCAAATGATGCGCGTCATAGAGGGCACACACGCGCCCCAAATATTGGGGAATATAGACCAATAATTGTTGTATGGTTGATGTATGGTGACGAATGGTGTATATTTTTTATTACTGTAGTGCGTACAATTATAACCATTTACAGAATTTATTTCCTATCTTTTATATTTTCACCAAACACTTTAATACTGAAAATTATTTTTCAACATTATTTTCAATATACTGACTGTAATTGTTTAGTATTTCAAACTTTATTTTTTGGAAATTCCACTGCACACACATACTCAATAAACCTGTCCAATGCCTACCTTTCATGAACACTAAAAACAGGCTGATGATATTCTACTAGCTAGAAGAGGATTGAGTTCAGCCCACTTGAATTCAATATGTAGAGTGAGTCATAACCTCCGTTAACTCCCTCATTTTTACCATTTTAATTTTTTGCCAGTCTTTTACTTTTCATCCCACATTATAAAACAGTAATAACAAACTAAAAGCTCTATTTACAACATGTGACCCAAACAAAATGTTTTCAATATGTTTTTAGAATAGAAATGTTTTTCCACAAGAAGTTGCAGTTGTAAACCTTGTTTACAGCCTTTTTTTAAGTTATACTGGAGTTCACATTTTGTTGGGAACTCTGACTAATAGGGTTCGGAACTGGCCTTAATCAGTGAACTCCACATTTATAGAAAATGGTCCGGTCTAAGGAACCAAAACTGTCAGCTTAATTTTTAATTTAAAGCCCAGTACACACGTGTTATTCGGCTCGTCAGAGCAGTTGGTTTGAGGAACTGAATTGGCTCCCACACAAACTATTCAATTTCGGGCTTGAGCTCACTAACTAAGTTTTTCAATGGTTTTGCATACAAAATGTTCACCATGGCTTGTTCGCGTCATCATTAGTTGTTCTTCTTGGCATGATTGTGTGACGTGTTTGTGGGTCAGGCCGAAGTGTGGAGTGTCAGAGTGTGGCGTGTAGAGCAAGGTCGAGGAGTGCAGGGTGGTGGCTGGTGGGGGTCTGTGACTGCGGCGCTACCTTCTCTGTTCTCCTACAGTCACAGTGCTATAGCTGTAGCTGGTCCAGTCTGTAGCTGTAGCTGTGTGTCTACAACAACATGTAGTTGTGTGCTGTGCCGTGGACTGTGTGTGCGCGTTATCACCACCTCACTTGGATACACACCCACCACCCAGGTCTCCTCTGCTTCATTATCTTACTTAGCAATAGTCGTCACATACAATACTGTACTACGATATCAGTACTGTATTGACACCACTAGACAATTCACGTTATTTAATTTCCTAAGGAAATTCAGTAGACCTATAGTACAACAAACTATAAATCTAAATTCATCTTGGAATAGCCTCCGAATCGTTAAAAAATCATATTTATTACTTAAAGTTAATTTTTCTTGTGATACTATCAATCAATCATTTTTTTTAAGTTCCGGTGAAAACAGGGTTTTAAACACGTATAACAATTTACAAAGGCCAAACAACGACGACCTCAAGTTCAGTGACTGGTGCTTTTGGACTTGAGGACTCGTAGTACGAATTTGCTGTTGTCATTAGGACACAAAATAAACCTTGCATTGAAATATATGTAGTTTGCTCAGTTCTTCGAATACAATTTGTTATTAAAGTACACTTGTAGCCGAGACCGATGTTATTTACATCGTTGTCTCGTGTTATCAAAATGTGAAATTATTAATGAATGCATTTAAATAAATGAGATAATTAAGTTAGGCCATTGCGAGAACCGAGAAACTCTATGGTTTTGCCTATTACTCTATCCTAAGGATTATGTCGATAACATCAACAGAGTGATGATATCATAAACGGTTACAACTATTAAGAATGGTAGGCTAAAGACACTAAAATAACAGTTCGTCACGGAATAGAGACATATTATGATAAATCTTGGGTTACATCCAACATTTGTACATTTACACTAAAGAACCACGGACAACAGACTGAATTACTATTCACATTTCGATTGCAATGTAAATTAAATATTTTATGCATTACATGTCCCTTTATATTTGGAAAAGTAATAAACATAATAAACTTTAAACAATGTTAAGAAAATACTACAAAGTACTCTTTACTACAAAGTAAAGAATAACATCAGACAGAATATTAAAATAAAAAAAATGAATGAATATACGTTAAAAAAATTAGTAATATCACCCATTGTCTCAAAACAGATTATTTCAAAGTCAGCTAAATTAATTTTAACGTGCACACATAAACCGGACTCAAGTTACATATGATTAAAAATTCGTCAAAAGAAGTTCAAGAGCAAAATGATTATTTGGGAACAATGATTAAATTATGGCAATTTCTTTGTACAAAAAACTGAAAATATACTTTTTAACTCTTTTAAATTAATTTAAATTTAAAGAAATTGAATCATGCTGCAACTTAACAAAACTCTAATCACGCTTTGTTGACATTGTAGGTCTAATTAGTGAATAAAATTACGTATTTTTAACATTAGTTTGCAAAAAAACTCCTATTCATCACTTCAAAAGGCTTTGTAAAAAACGAACAATGGAAAAAGGTACATTAGTCCTCACTCAATAAATAAAAGTAAAGTAAAATGTTGCGATACTTTCGGTGACTCGTTTTTAGTTTTGAAATTTCATCAATACCTTTATTTAATGATTATCGTATACTTTATGAACCACTATTAATCCAATGTCACGAAATTGAGGATTGTATTTGAAAATGTTGAATTAAAAGAAAAAAAAGTCCATTTTAGGACAATCAAGTAACGTAAAGCAAATATTTGTGTCCTGGTTTATATTCTTCTAGAAACATCCATACTAACATGGGTACTAAATACCTGCTATAAAATTGTCATTTTTATCAACTGAACTTGTTCTTGTTGTTCTTCGTTTATATAGAAATGTAAATTTACATTTGCTTAAAATAAAAAGAATTTAGAATTTTAACACCGCATTATCAATTTCAAATGTCGTAACATAGGCTCGATATGGTAAACATTTACTTCCATAATAAAAAGTGTACCAAGTCGTATTTGCTATGTCTCTTATACTCGTAAATTGTGCTATCAATTTCTTTAAATGATGTAATATCAAGTTACCTAATAAAACGAAATTTTCAAGGATACAGTGTTGGCTTCAATTTAATATATACAGGGTGGCTGGTCATCAGTGTTACAAAAATTTGTTGGTGTAAGTACAAAGTAAATGCAGTATGATGATGCATATCAAATGTTCCAAGTCTAAAAATTAGCTTCTTACAGAATTATTTTATGTTTTTCAAAAATAACTATGTTTTTAAAATTAATACAGCCATTTCTCAATTACCTGTAAATGGATTTGAGTAGATAATGTTATTTTCGTGTTCTACATTAAATTTTGAATAAGAATAATACAAAATGTCAGAGGATCAGTTGTAAAAACTCCATTGTAAATAGATTCAAAGATAAAAATTAAGATGTTTGATAAAAATTTAAAAAACATTGGTCAATTGCATTTGTTCACACCCTGTATACAAGAAAGTGTCGGAATATGTTAAAAACTGCGCCATTTTTTAAGCTATCCAACCATGTGCTACACCATTGAGCTTTATGTCTGCGTATGTACGCTTTAGTGGTTTGAAGACTACGAAGCATGGTGTCTTTAACATTTAAAACATAGAAAGCCGGCATGCAAAAGTTGTATTTTTGTTTCAGCTTGAACAGTAAAACAGTAAAAAAGTTCCCTGTTTTCTGGCAATCTAACCACTAAAACAAACAAAAAATATCTAAACCTCAATAGTGTAGCATGTGGTTGGAAAGCTTATAAAATGGAGCAGTTTTTAACATATTCCGACACTTTCTTGTATACAGGGTGTGAAAAATGCAATAGACCAATGTTTTTTTAAATTTTTATCAAACATCTTAATTTTTATCTTTGAGTCTATTTACAATGGAGTTTTACAACTGATCCTCTGTTATTTTGTATTATTCTTATTCAAAATTTAATGTAGAACACGAAAATGACATTATCTATTCAAATCCATATAAAGGTAATTGAGAAATCGCTGTATTAAGTTTAAAAGCATGATTATTTTTGAAAAACATAAAATAATTTATTGGGAAGCTAATTTTTAGACTTGGAACATTTGATATGCATCATCACACTTCATTTACTTTGTACTTACAACAACAAAATTTTTTAACACTGATGACCAGCCACCCTGTATATATTTGGTACTGTATATTTGTTTGGCAAGTATAGGGACGACAATATGAACTCTATAAGGCTATGTATTATTTGTAACAATCGTTTATCCATTATCAGCAATAAATATATAATATATTTATTATAGCAATAAACATATTAACAAGTGATTTATGTAGAATACATAGCGTAAATCAAATAACCGATGAACTATCTCCTTAGTACATAAGTCGCATGCAAAAAAATACTTTACTATCCACGACTTGGTATCAAACATTAGTAGCTAAGACTATACGATGGACTATGCAACTGATAACAACGTGGTGACTCGAGACTGATTTTATCACTCGGGCTATCAAACTGATAACACAATTTTCGTGGACGCATGACGACTCGACGATCCGCTTGTATCACTCAGGTTGTAGAACTGATATCACGACAGCGACATCGGGTTCGATAAAGCAACAACAATAGCAGGTATGTACGCGGGTGGTGACTCAGTGACCCACTTGTACCACGGAGCTAGGGGTCCATTTACATACCTCGTTAGTCAATTTGAGCCCGTATTGTCTTGCGTCGCCAAATTAAAGGTTATTGCCGCTTTAATAAGCAGTTTCGACACGGGTGTGGTGCTGGAGTCTGCCTGGCTCTGGAACCGCTCTTGTTACTGTTTAAATAAACGCTTGTTTGGAACAACAAACAATACCTCTCTGCATTTCAATAATGACCCATTCAATTCGGCTGCTCTTTTGTTACTTCACACATTGTCCGAGTCAAACAACATAATTTGTTTTTGAAGCATTTAAAAGTGTGGCCGTAACAAGTTAGATCTTTAGGCCTTAGAATTTACGAGTGGTAATTTTGTGTCCAATTGGTCGTTACGCCTGAACGACCATCGTTAGTGTTAACTGTTAAGAGTAGGCTACTCATAATGCAACTCTCAAATTAAATACACAAACACTTAGAATTTTTAGTTTACAAACCTCCACAATTTACATTACAGATGGATGATACAAATTGTAATATCGATGAAACGTGTAATTAAGTCACTATTAATGAAGTAAGTCACTCAGAAGCACGTGTGTTCGATGTGTAAACAACCCTCGTGTGCTACACACATCGTTGTGTCGCCAGCAAACAAGAATTTTCCTTGAAATCAGCCGCAAATTATCAATTTGTCACAGCGCGATGGCCGGAACAAACCCGTCTCATTGCACACCTTACATGGCCGTGAGTTAATTGAGCAAAATCCAATTACTCTAGTTTCCGCCGATTTGCGCGACTAACCACACAAGTTGCACAAGTCCCGCTCACTGACTGTTCCAACTTCCGCAGCTGGCGCGGTTATGACCATCCTTCGGAATACCATTAGCTGACATTAACTGGGACATAACTTACGGTACATGAGCAGCTATGAGGCTACGGCAGTGCAGCGGCTTACCTACCTGAAACAAGGTTACGTTGTTAGTACATCTCACAACACAACAAAGTCACGACTACGACTACAAAATGTAGAGCCCGGGAACAACAATAATACCACTCAAGAGTGGTAAAATAGATTGACGAATGTAATGATACCTTTAGTAACTAAAATAAGTGAATTGGTTTCAATTGGGTTGGTAATGACGTCATCAGTATCAGTATTGCCAGGGCAGTGTAAATTCCAAGTTTGAACAAAATGATAAACAACACATCAAGGTCAATTGTCAACTCGTGGGCTTTCCTATACTGAATCACTACAAGTTATGCAAGTCCAGATACAGAAGTGTACTAGTAGCACCTCCACAATAGTTTGTCAATATATATATTCAAAGCAAATGCGTAAAATAAAAACATCTAACAATAGGGTGATACAATAATTTTCGAACTAGCGTCAAAGTACACACGGAATATTTTATGCATAAAAATATGGCAAAAGAACACTTAGAAGCTCGGTTAAATAGTTACAACTGCACGAAACCGACGAAACTTAACAACGTCCAAATGGTTGTCTCGTCCATA